ACTTCTTGATACAGATTTGTAACATGCTCGACAATAATCCGCGCAGGGAAACGCATTTATTTTACAGGACCTACAATATTTAATACATGGATTGGAACTGTGTTTTGAATCTTGATTTCGATGTGAACCATATTGCTGACCGTAATCAAACTCGTTTGCATGGACCCGTGACGTTTTCTTACATCGAAAACTTATATCCAACGGACTCCGCGTGTTCTTGTGCTTTACGTGCACGTTTGTATCAGACGCTAGAAAAGCTAAAACTATAGGAGATTTATTACATATTAGCGATTTCACTGCTCTGAAATCAATGTATGATTCTGTGTTCCTCGAAGAATGCATTCTTGACCGCTTTTTCAAAGGTCTTCGTCTCGGTTTCGTGGATCTCCCTCTACTTTTCCTAGATCTCATTTCTGGAGTTGATGTTGATGATCGATATCTTGATGATTGCAACTGGATTCTATTTTTTTTACCGGTCTCTATGCGACTCTGTAGTAGTAATGTTTTTCGGCTCGAAACAGGCGCTTCTCCGTCCTCTTCTTCTGAAAAAACATGAGGTAAGATATGCTCCAAATCATCTACTTCAGCCAATTTATAGTACCCCGGGATGCAAGCGTTGCCCATTATGAAACCGTCTTAGAGTACTTTTCGTATGGAATAACTAAGAATTTTGAGAATTTTCATTTAAATATGATAAATTCAACTCATAATACCAAATGATTTTAACAATGTCGTTTTGGAAGCCATACGACGTTGACTTTTTTGTTCCATATGTCAACACGAGCAATTTTAAAGGTATAAATAATCGAAGTTTTTTATTTTTATGACTAACAAAATAAATATTATAAACTAGCAAAAAGATTTTAAACTACGGACGAAGCGGACGGTTTGGTTCATAGATTTAGTATTGGATATACTAAATCTATGGTTTGGTTACAGTTTGAAACCAATTCATTCGATTCCTGGAAAGTTACACTTAGGATATTTGCACATTGTTGTAGAAATCGACTTTCTGTCGTCGTCGTCGTCGTCGTCGATCATTGGCTTTGCTGGTGGGGATATGAATGTTGACGAAATGGGGCAGTACTAATCGGTGCAGTTCCAATTAAATGGAACCTTATTGCAGCCGGATTTTGCTTTGGGGTAATGCCGCCGATATCAACAGAATCTTTGTCCTGCAGAAACGTGCAGTTAGGGCAATTTACAATCTGGGCCCCAAAGTACCTTTGAGAGATAAGTTTAAGGAAATTAACATTCTTACACTAGCCTCACAGTACATTTATGAGAATGTAATTTAGGTTAAAAGGAACAGTAATTTATTTATGAAAAATAGTGACAGACATAACATTAATACGAGGAATAGAAATAAACTAGCTTTTCTTAATAGTCGTCTACACAAAGTCAAAAAATCATTTAAGGGGCAATGTATACGCTTCTATAACAAGATTCCGGTTGATATACAAAATTTGCCTTTCACGAGGTTTAAAACTATAGTGAAACAAAAACTTTATACTAAAGGTTATTATACAACTTCTGCGTACTTGGATGACAAAAATCCGTGGTAGTAACCCGTTTAGCTCATGGAGGTAGTCTCGATCTCTGATGTTTCAAATAAAAATAAAAAAAATATTGTAAATGTTATTTACAAAGAGCAACCCTTAGAGTTTCTTGCTCATTCTTCTCAGGGGAATCTGCCTTACGAATGAGCGGTAGAGTTTAACCATTGTGACGATTTCAAGTGTAATAATGCTTACCTATGAAATAAAGATTATTTTGAATTTGAATTTGAATTTGATTAATTGCATCGCACCTGTCGATTGTATTACTTATAGTAAACCTGTAGTTCCATTACGAGCGTGGCGGTTGTTTCTAAATTTCTGCAACCTTTAGAAACAAAACAATTTTGAAAACAAAATTCATAATTAATATAAAAAAAATTAAATTTTTAAATATACCCATCGATACAAAACAGTGTTTCCGTAGTATCTACACCTAGTGCGGGGCTTTAAAAAAAAATTTAAAAATTCAAAATTAATCTTTTAGGCCTTTGGAGAGGCGAGAGTTAAAAATAAATACAATAATAATAGTCTATTCTAATAGTGTATTCTAAAAAGACAATAAAGTCACCATATGTAACTCGGTGAGACCTTTTTTACCCTTTTTAGTTGAACCATATTAAAGTGTGAAGACCACATGGTGTAAGGACTGGCGCCATGCGAACTCAACGATCCCCTCGCCAATCACAGCCCGAGGTTTTGTTTATAAAATAACTACTTTCCGAAAAAACGGACCCTTTACATATACAATGGTCAGACGTGAGTGACGCGGCCAAAGACCTGTAAGAGCGTTTTAGATCCGTAATTTTTTTATTTTGTTTCTAACAACCGCACCAATTGCCAAAATTTCCAATGTATAACAGTAACGGATACGGACCTAAGAACCGGATACTTTCCAAAACTTTCAAAAAAATATCTTATAGGTACTTTTTTGAAAATTGTAGTAGGCACTACTCGTACATTTTCAAAATGACTACGTGCTTTATCAAAAAGCAATGAAAATTAGATTGGTCAAATTACCTTAATGCACGTAACCGATTTGCACTGACCGATTTAATATCTAAATAAATAGGTACCTAAATAACTTCCTCAAGAACAATAAAATGTTTTGTTTACGCATTATGGTAGACCATTTATTTAGACAAACACAAAAATATGAACAATCGTTATTATTCCATTAGGTTTAGACAAACACAAAAATATAAACAATTGTTATTATATTCTAGGACTGAGATTTAAAGATCGAAGTTGACTAATTCGTTGTGGTGTTTGTTTTTGTTTCGATATAAATTTACAATAAAAAATAATTGGTGTCTCTGCTTGTGATTTATTTAAAGTGGACAAATTTTCAATGAACTGTAATATTATTAAAAAAATAGTCTTAGTGGTTGTTACAAGTTCTTCCTGTCCTGACCTATAGTAGTAATTTTTTTCATCCTTCCGAACAGGCTACGTGTAATTGCCAATAATGTTGGCTGTAAATTTTCTTCATTTTCTGACATTTTTTCACGGGAAATTGTGATTAGACTGACACTTGTCAAATTTCATGAACCAGTGATGGGACACGATAAGTGAAATCTAGAATCGATGTTAAACTAATATACTATGACATATTTCAATTAGTGTTATTATACGAGTATCATAACTAATGTCACGTAAGATCTTGTCTAGAAGAAACGAATTCGCCTCAAATAGTCGCACGTGTATACGCGCGTTACAAATTCAGTCAGTATTAAATATGGGCTTAGTTGAGTTGTGCCCAGCTTACCGACATTGGAATGGACGAAAATGAAGGAAAAGCAGGATATACTTAGTATATTCAATTTTTAACGATAGAATGACATATAGTACGTTTGTATCTTTCCACCATTTTAAAATTGTATTAGCGTAGGTACTCTGAAGAACCCAGTCCATATTGCCGGTCTTTTTTTCTATTTCGTTTTACACATTTCTGTACCAAAATTTTTCCACTCCATTTCCTAGATACGTGCACTCGCATTGAAATTCGCGATTATTCGTGGCGAATTCCGGACATGGTCTTATTGCTGAAATCAACCTAAAAATGCACTAATAGAGTCGGTCCCACGAATACGGTCCCGCATTTCCGTAAGACCTTGTTGAAAATTTGAATTCGTACAATCGGGTAAAACTTTTCTTCGATTATAACAATATTTTTGCGTTCAGGCTCTTTCAAAGTGCAAGGTGGCTTAAATTATGTGTCCAGAGTGAGACACGCTAATTGAACTGCCAGTCATTACACAGCGTCACGCTTCTCTTTTGAAGGGTTGAATAGTGACGATCTTCACTTAGGAGTATATACTTCTTTCGCATCAGGAGAGATATATAACGCCAAAGTAGCTCTTCCCAACGGTCCCAGTCACACTTCCTCTTTAAACTATTTTATCTTAACGCGAGAGTTAATAAAAATTTAAATAATTATACCTAGTGAACATCAACTGTAAAAAGAAGTACCAGAATGACCGCTAGTAGAATTGTTTACCTATCCACAGTACTTGTAGCTAGTATTGCTGGTAAGTGCATTTTATTTTAGTTTTACATTTATTATTTTGTATTTAGTTTATGTCATTAACGTAATTTCATTCCTTAAGTTAGCTCCGCAAATAAATTAAGGCGAAATGAATCGTGCTTTCCTAGATTTTGAAGCGTATGTCAGACGCGGAGAAATTCACAGCACGATTTTTAAACATATTTTGCTTTTTAGAAATAAAATAAGCTCTCACTGTAAAATAAGCTCATATTCCCCTGACGTATTCGTTGCAAAATATGGGACAGAAATATCATTGAAATATCTCTAATAGCAATCGAATGAATCTGATTTTACCGCAGATGAACGTAGTAAAATATGAAAATTTTTACGTAAATTGTGATTTTTTTATTGACTAAGATCAACGTGATTTGGGCCCTACAGTTAACTATCGGTATCTTCTGTTTTCATTTTTCTTTTTTATTAATAATTTTGGCTTGGATACATGTCCTTTGAGCCATGTCTTCGTTTAATTATGTTTCTGTAAATATGGCCGCCACAAGGAGGATAGGCAATTTGAGGCGGCGTGTTTGGATTGACTCGGGATTCCTTAAAACGGGCCGATACGGGTATTTTAGTTCGAGATTCGTATAATTTCGCGTTTTAATCTTCGATTAAGGCACAATAGCACTATCCTATTGCACTTTAAACTAGATTTCACAAAATAATTGAATGTCAAAATGACAAAACGACACTTTTCCTTCCAAAAGGTCCAGAGCGAATCCTCTTCTGTTTTCATTATGAATGAAAAAAAAAACCAACTTGAATTGGTATTTTTCAAAAACTTTGTTTGATTGAGATTGTACCGTCACAAGTCAACGTCATCATAAAAAATCTATAATCTTAATAAAGAATTTATCTAAAGACATGCTTCTTAGCTAGTTAGTAGATTAGGGCTCATTCAGAGTGCAGGCGCAGGCGCGGCGGCGAGTATGGGCGCGCGTGTCTTGGCGTCTTTCGATTCACAGCGCGAAGCTGCTAAAACCGTTCGCTCCACACGTCGTAGTTGCGAACAGACGCTAGATCAAGCACTGTGAAAGGTACGGGCGGATTGAGGCAATAACTACCCGCGCGACGCGCGCGCAACCGCGCCCGGCGCGCACGGCCACTGTGAACGCAACGAGCATCTACGTACATTACATTTACACGCACCCGCACCCGCACTCGCGCGCGCATGCCTCTCTTAATAAGGTCTTAATTTCTTAGTTTAATACCATTTTTTACTATACAATTTATGCCTCATAAAAACTTGCACGCTTTTTCGTTTACGACCCTTGTAAGCTTTCGCAAAATCGTCTTCGCATTATCGCCAATCGCGTAATCGGCATTCGCACTCACGTAGGACACCCTACGTAAAGTGTAAGTAAACATTTCAACGGCGATAAAAGTTCAAATAGTTACTTCTTCTTTTGAATATGTCTACGGAAGGTCTGTGATGGGTTTTACTAATCTATTTTTTACCAATTTCTCGTAACAAAATCACGTGTTTATTATATATTTTTACTTTTAACTAGCGTCGCCGTCTCCAGACACTCGTGTTGGCAGTGGTACGCCAACAACAATTGAAGAGTTTTCATACATCGTGGTGTTTCTTTACTACTATTCTGAACGAGAAACCTACGTTCAACGGTGTGTTGGATCCCTAATATCGTCATGGCACGTGTTGACTACAGCATATTGTTTCACGTAAGTCATTGAGCCCTTTTCGCGGAATGTTTGAAATAGAATATCCCTTTTTTACATAAAATGAAAGGAGATTGGAAATGAAACTATTTTTAACCGACTTCAAAAAAGTACAATCGAATTGAGAACCAACACTTTGAAGTCGGTTAAACATAGTTTAATTTCCAATGTGTAGCAATCGCGGATATCCAAGAACGTGAAAGAGATAACAAAATTCCATTGGTCTATAACAAGCTTATGATAACTCTAAAATGTTGAGCTAGATTTGAGAGAGACGTCGTTGATTGTATGTCATACTGTGGGAGTCTCGGGAAAAAGAGATTTCCATTTTGTATTACTCGAATAAAGAAAGCTAAAAAATCTGTATTTTTACAGTGACGCAAATCTAAACCTAATGCTGATTCGGGCAGGTTCCACGGACAGCTTAAGCCACGGTTCTTTGTCCACGCTTGGGAATGTTGTCCTACACCCCAATTACGTAGAAGCACCAAGAACTGCCGATATTGCTGTGACGAATCTTAGTTTCCCTATGTCATTAAGTTCAACGATTGGAATTGTGCATTTGCCTCATCAAGGAACATATATTCCCGATGGATCGCTAACGACAGTTGTCAGCTGGGGATTGGAATTAGTGAGTACCTTATCTGCAGAACACGAATACTTATTAACCTATATACAAAGAGATTATAAGTCTATGCATACAGGTGCAATCGTTAAGTGTCCCCAGGCGATTATTCCTTGAAATCTAAAGCCTCTCTACCATCGAGTATATAACCAGAAATAGAGACCAAATAAGGATCATTCTTCACTGGCAACTCATCACGCAAATGGGCCTTATATCACTTTTAAATATCAACTCTCGTTTGAACTGAAATCACAAATTAGAAAGTTGAAATAATACAGCGCCAATCCAGAAATATTCTGTTTTTATTGTAATAAAGATAATATCTCTAACTATGGGGGGCTGTTCCATTCGGTGGTGTGGCAAAAACAGCAAAACGTCTAATTACAAAACAAACGGAATCACATTTCATCGTTAATTAAATATTAAATATGTAATTTTTCAATTTTCGTCCATTACAGCAAAGCTCAAGTTAAACTGGTCGATTTGAAGTGAAACAATTGACGACACCCGTCAATTGTTTCGAATTTGGGCTGGCCAATCGGAGCGCAGTTGTCACCGGAATGATTTGGCAGAATAGTTTTCAAACAAATTCAATGGCATTTCGTCTCTATTTGAACTTTGAACTGTCTCCGTGGCCGAACGGTTACAGAGGTCCCAGGTTCAATTTCCGGGCCGGGAGAAATAGTTGTATGGCCTACAATTATTTCTCTCGTGAGTTTAGGTGTAATTTGTGGTTGTCTATGTGTGTGTCCATGGCACCCGCGACACAGGGTTTCCCTAGTGCGGGGCTATATTGAGTGTGTGCGTTATTTATTAATTATTATTTCTGATTATATACTCGATGCTCAATACGAATGTTATGTTGTAAGTATTAGACTCTAAAATATTTGATATTTCTAGTTTTATTTAATAAGGTAATTGATGTCGTTTTACTAAATATGTAACATACTTTTGATATCAATTTAAAAGATATAAATATATATTTACGGAATAACCGACTGGGCACAATTAATGATTACACTCTGAATAACACATTATTGCCACCATCAAAGAGATATGAATCACATGGTTCACGAAAATATCTGCTAAAGAAAGAAGAAAATATTTTAAATACAGTATAAATAAAATATTTGAAGAAATTGTTAAAGATTTGCCATAATTAATTTTTTCCGATGCCATAAAACCCAACATTCAAAAAATTAATTAGTGAGTTACGTCTGGGATGGAAAGAGTTACATCATTTATTTTTGTGACTCGTTTTATTACGCGACCTCCTTTAATATTTCTAATTGTAACTCCTGTAAAAAGGTTTCGAATAAGAAAAACATTCTTAAATTGAATGTTGGCAACATTTATAGCTTTGACAAGTTACTAAGTTAAATATTATTTGGATTGCTAGTTTTTTAGTTACCCGAAATTTTAGGTAAATTAACGTGATACCCCAAAATTCAAATAAGCATTCGGTTTGATCTGCAATGAACAACCTGTTGATTTTAAAGCGATTTTATCTTTTTTTTTATTAGTTATTTAACGTTACTTTAAATGTTCGATAACCTTTAAAATTTTATTCATTGTTAGTATAAAAGCCTCCCTAAAACATTTACAGCTAAACAGCCATTTTAAAAACATATTTTCAAAATGGTGAACCTGAAGATGAATAAGTAAATATTGTTTTAATTATAATCATGTCTTATTTAAAATAGAGACTGCGTATGATGTACCGAAACTTTGAGAAAATGTTTCAGAGTTTAGATGGATTTTTTCAACTGTCAGGCGCCTACTAGTTCTATAGATGATTTTTTTTCGCGTTTGTTAGGAAATTGGACCACAGCCAAAGATATTGAAGACAGTCCTTTTGTACAAGCTTCCCCTGGTTTCATGCCGAAACATCTACGAGGGTAGTACGAGTGTAGAAATTGGAGATCGTAAGTTTTTATCTACCTTCCATAAAGTGTTCTACTGCGAATTGAAACCACTCGCCCATTGTATCATAGAAGTCAAGAATTCAAGAACTAAATATGATACGCCAACAACGCGATGAATAAGTTTTTTGTTTTTAAACTTGTCATCATCAACCCGGGTTTCCCACGTGATTGCGAATGCCGATTACGTGAACAGTGTTACCAGACTTTTGCAAGGTCGCCAATGTATGTGCGTTAAGTAGCCGATATTCGCCCAAGCCATAAAATCCCTAAAAATCAAGGATAACAATTCTACAATTCTGCTTGCTGCCGGACATTAGGGAATATGAACTCTCATATTTCCCCAATTCCCCACTCGTAGAAATACTCAAACCTCCAAATAAGTTATTTTACTACTCCATTCCCCACAAAATCCCCAATCAAATTTATAATTCCCCAAACATTTTATTAAGTAGCCTAAAATCGCCTTTTCCTATTACAAACATAGCCCAAATATCGCCGAGTCGCCGATCACTTTTTTAGTCGCCGCGCGAACCCTCGAAGTAGCCTAAATGGCGAAAAATCGCCTAATCTGGCAACATTGTACGTGAATGATGATAGTGCGAAGACGGTAAGCTATAATGCGCAACGGCTTATTTTCACGAATAGTCAGTTGCGCGAAGGTTTAAAAGCATGAAGATAAATTTGCGAAAGTTGGAATGCGCGAATATTTAATCCTACGATGGTTCATTTGCAGTTTATTAGTTGAGATGTCAATAGTTTGGAATTCTTTCCCCTTCATTTACATAGATAGGAAGGGAAGTTGATAATTTGTAGCATTTTTATTTCAATTAATCGATCTCAAAATTAAGCTCGCGGAATTCAAACATATCGCACTGCTATTACAATAGTGTTCTAACTCAAAATATGTGAAATTTGATAGAATATTGTAAGAAACAATTAAAAGATATCTACTTAACCCAAAATGAGAACACTTTATGTGAGCTAGTTCTGGCCAAAATGATCTTTATTAAAAAATATGAAATAATTTTTCCAGTTTATTTTTAAATATTTCTGGGAAATTGTTTGTGTCTATAACAAAGTATAACATATACATTAATTTTAATGTTTTTTTTTCGGGAAGTGAGTAATTCGTTTTTTATCGATTCTGAGAAAGTCCACTTTTTGAGTTAATAAACTATTGTATTAACAGTACGATATGTAATTCCATGAACTTTTGAGGTCAATTCGTGAAAATAAGCCGTTGCGCGTTATAGCTTTCGCGCAACCGGCTTCACACTATCGTCATCGGCATTAGCAATCACGTGGGAAGCCCTATCAACCCATTTATACGCCCCACTTCCGGGTACGGGTCTCCCCTTAGGCGAGTGTTTAGGCCATAGTCAGCCAAACAGGTTGGGGACGTGCAGGTTTCCTCAAGATGTTTTCCTTTAACGAAAAGCTAATTGTAAATTTAAAATTATATTTCGCACATAAATTCCAGAACCTCTATGGCACGAGCACGGATTCGAACCCATGGCCCTCTGCTTTAGAGGCGGTACATCTAACAATTAAGCTACCATGGTTCTTAAACTATAAACATTTGTCACTAATGTTCTACATCTTCATTTAAATTTGCTAAAAGTAATCCCATAGGTGGGTTAGCATTTCCTATTAAATTTACAAAGCACTCCATTCATTTACCGATACAAATCATTCAACATACAGCCGTTTGTAATGGTCAGCTCCAGTCGGTTTGCAACCAGCATGAGACTTGTTGAGCGTGAGGTCTAGTTGACCCGATGCTGCATGTAGAATTTATAAGCAAGGAGAAAGAAAAACCTTACACATAGCCAAAAACAAGTTTTGAAGTAGAAATAACCAGATGCTTTATTTAAGTTTAAAGCTATAAAAAGTATGTACGTTAAGATTACTACAATGTTACATTACAAAGATTTTAATTGCCTGTTGTTACATTTCGAGGTTACTAGATATACTTTTAGTTTTTACTAGTTACACATATAAATGGTTAACCTTAAGTATACTTAGAGTTAAGGCACTGCAGTAATGAAAGTACTAGTGTGTATGGACATTACACTTATACGTAGTGACCTGGAGGTTACTGTATCCACTTTTAGGTTACACAGACTCGCCGTGAACGCAGCGTAGTTTCTACAGGAGCAACGCAAATACAATGTGAATGCCTTAAATGTTAATGCGGTCATGTCGGCTAACATGCCCAACAATTTCATCAATGAATTGGGTCCTTAACACGAGTGAGTTAAATGTCATACTTGTTCCTATGCAGCTGTAATTTGCGTAGTCCGAACGGGCATACCGGACATGTGCGTGATTGACTCTGGAGCCCCCATGACGATAAATAAGGTGCTGGTCGGTGTCGCTTCTTACACCCTGGGCTGCGGCAATACCACGTCGCCCGATGTGTTTACTAGGATTGATAAGTAAAACATTTTTTTTTTCTGAATTTTTAATGAAAACAAACTTTCTTTCGATTCATTTCGGTTGATTCGATAACTCTTTGAAATTAAGAGCCTTTGCACACGGCGTATTTTAGACGAGTCGACGAGTTTCGTCTGTAGTGAATTGATTCAAACACGCGCAAACATTTCGTTGCAAGCAAAAAGTTTATATACTATACTGGAGTTTACACTTAGAATTTCATGTAGTTGCTTCATTTCAAAAACTACACGAAATTAACAAACAAATCTAAAACTATCAATTATAAAATGCGCGTATACGCGCAGACGACGCGTGCTTACGGCGCATAAATGCGCGTCGTCGGGGCGTATAAAATATGCCGTGCGCATGAACTCTTATTCAGGTTGATAAAAAAAACCACTGACCATTTTAAAGGAGCACACTGTATGATGGAAATAAAAAAGACATGTTCGGTTTTTTTCAAATACTTAACAAATAAATAAGTTATGACGCCTCAAAGTTTTCGAGAAATTGTGAACAATATTGACACTCGACGATTAGCAGACGCCGTTGCTATAGCAACAAGAACGGTGTGGGGGCAGTGGGCGGAGTCTGCGCGCGAGTTAATGTATTTGACAGACAACAAAGTAACGCGCGATGCGTTAGCGCATGTCTGTCCTCGCGCGGCGCGACGTACTGGCGCCTAGGCGTCTAGACAACTCGGCGCCGATCGCTCAATTTTATTTACTATTTTAAAAGTTATTGGAAAATATTAACATCAAAAAACTGGCGAAAATTTTTTTGGTTTTATTTCACTAAAGTGTTCTGAATCTGAATCTTATGTACAGGAAAAAAACGGGTAGTGATTTTTTATCACCCTGTATTTGGGAAGTTGGAGATACTTAATTAAAATTGAATTTTGAATAAGAATTTACCTTAATACATTAGACAGCGTTTGCTATTCGTCTTATTTTTGTATTTGGTGCCTTTTGGTGCCTACATTGGCAAATGATCATTTATACCAAGATACACTCTTGCTATCAACAGTGTGACAGCGTGTCTCGTTGTTCCAAAGTTTTGCGCTGTGGACTCTGGGTAAGGTATAACAGAATAGAAATTTATTTTCTCCCAATAGCTTACAATCTTCACTAAATGTAAACAATCTTGAGACATCTATTTAATGAAATATACATTTATAAAATGATTTTTACTTACCTTTAAATACAAATACTTTAGCTTCATATGAAATTGCATGCCTATTTTTTTACCTATTGATTTGTAAAGCATATATTTCAATAAAAAGGTGTATCAAGATTGTTTACATTTAATTAAGTACCTAAACAAATGGACTATAGATTTGTTATTTGCTCTATGCGAGAATAGCAGTATGTCGCGCTATATGCGGCTCGCGCAGTATGTCGAGGTAGCATTACTTACTGGTATGCGTTAGACGTGTGTCGATCGTGTTTGATCGGACCAAAATGATTCGAACAGCACCTGTGACCCGATAACCCGTTTACTAGCTTCTAAATAACACGATCATTTTACAGTTTCATGGGTCATACGCGCAATATTCCACTTTATCACTATAATTTTAGAGATTATTCAACAATTCACAATATTATAGTTGTCTCGTACATTCTCAGGGCGCGGTCCCACTATGTCATGACGACAGATTGTCGTGTCGTAGCCAGAGATGGGCAAGGAGGTTGTCGTGAAACGATAAATTGTCGTCACGTTCTAGTGGGAACAGGCTAGACACGACAGTCGTCCAACGATAATAAAACGTGACGACATAGTGCCCTCACGTGAAGCCACTCACGAATCGTGTCGTGAGTGGGGACGTTTGGATCGAAGATTTGTTCGATAGAGCATTCGTTCGATCAAGCCAAAAAGTCAAGCAGTCAATCAACGAGTCAACGGGTTAACGGATCAATGAGCCTATCAATAGTGTCCATTACATGGTAATTTTGTAAGTTTAATCTGTTTTTCGGTATGTTGTGTTTATTTAAGAGTGTACTAGCTAATATTAATGAGTAATAAATTAGTAATTTTGAATGCTCATAAGTTTTTTGTTATCAATTTTTGTTTTGTATCATCGTTAGTTTTTGTAGAAAGAAATTTTAGTGTCCAACTGTGGTTTGTCAATGATGCATTTAACTACACAATGACTACAATAGACACATTATCAGCAGGCAAGAATAAAAGCTAATTGTATAAGTTGACACTTTTGAATACCATATGGAAGGATCATGAAGGACGGGTGACCCGCCAAAATATCGAACACATGATCGAACCATTTGACCCGATCAAACTACGCTTGGGTCATGATCGACCTGGGCTATCAAACGATCGACCGACACAGGTCTAGATGCGTGTTCTGGGAGTCGACTCCCGTTCCCCGTTCGACATCCGTCTGTAACAATTACTGTCAAATATGTAATAGTCGACCAAATCAATGAACAACGTCTAGTATGAAGCTTCATTCGCAACATGCATCTTTTAATTTAGTCGATTATTACTTATATGGCAGTAATTGTAACGGACGGATGGAACGGGAGTAGACACCCTGGGTAGTGCCATTAAGTCAATTATGTTGCTCTAGTACTTACAGTATACGAAATTTCTTAGTTTGAGACAAGTGAATTGACGTGATTGTCCGTATTCTTGTTATTATAATAACGAATTGTAGTAGATATCCAATGATAATGGCATAACGTGACCATTATTTATTTCATCAGAGCGAGACGCCTGTGAATGTATTATTGTTTTAAAAATGTTTGATTAAAAACTTAAAAATGGAACTTGTGTAGTCTGGCGAGCTGGCTCTAACCGTTTTCACGTTATAGCGCCATTTAAAAAAATATATTGTCACGTGTATCCTGTTTTGTTAAAGCGGGACATTTTTAAGTACCTATTTTGCGGATAGCGGGATAAGAAACTTGAAAGCGGGAAGATAATTATGGTAATAATAATTAAGATAATCACGTTATACATACACTGACTCTGAATTTGAAATCGAACTATAATTCGTAAATTGTAAAAAAATGTAAGATTTTTCCCGACTTAGGTACGATATTTATATGTATGTATCATAAACATTCTGTTCATTTTCAGGTTTACTGATTGGATTGTTTCTGTAGCTGTTCCACCCCTGACAAAGTGAATGGCAATCGACGCCCGAAGTATAAAGCCGGATTTACATCTGTAATCATCAACTCGTAACGAGCAGCTCGTATCTACTATTTTGTTGGTATAATACAGCCGCATAAGATTATGCGTCAAAAGTGCTTTTATCTTAAAAATAATACGAACTACATGAACCAAATTATGTACCTATATGTGAAATATTATATATAAATTAAATAAATAAATACAAATAAACACATTCGCACATTGTACATTACGTATACCCCATAGTTACTATACACCTATTCAATAACACTCGCACCTAATAAACACTCATTCACACTCACTGTTACATGTCGTGAGATTATTAGAGTTGTAGACGTTCCCATTACATATTATACATATATGTATAATCAGAACTATAATAGAGTCTGGCTAACGAAAGATGAGACTGGAAAAACGCGGGAAATTTGAAAATTATTTCGTATCACGGGTGTAGATGAAAAAAATAATTTTGACACAAGTACAATGGGAATAAAAATATTTTACGAACTGATCTGTCAATCATATATGTGTTCATAATTAGGCAAGTTAGAACCAATCGGAAGTTAGGTATAGATCCTCTATAATGAAATGACTTAATTTAGAAAAGAGAAGCTAGGTATAGATCCTCTATAATGAAATGACATAATTTAGAAAAGAGAAGCTAGGTATAGATCCTCTATAATGAAATGACATAATTTAGAAAAGAACCAAAAGTATCTAAAATATGAAATGGCCATTTTATTTGCATACTGTATCTCGGTAGTTCTATTTATTATATTATATAAAAAATAAACCAAAATTGTTGTAATTAACCACGAATGATATACCGGATCTACTGCTCTCACTTTCTTGTACTCTTATATTATTTCTTTTATGTCCTTAGTAATTCTGTCCCGTTCTGATGATAGCATCAATATCAAAACCATTCAAATCTGAAACTGTGGGCACGTGAGGTCTTTTCCGGAGTACTCTGCATTCGCTATAAATAAATATATATCATTGAACAAAATTACTATATGTTGAAAAAACTATCAAAACTACAAATTTCATGGAAAAGATCTAAATTATCACGTCGTAATAAGCAATGAAATCGGAAAATTCTTTATTCCTCTTGTTTTTTTTTGCTTATATATCTTGTCTTTTTACCAACCAAAGCTTTCGCTCATCGCTATTTATTGTCTTCGTCATATTATTATTATAAATCATAAAAAGCGCAGATAATACAATACAACTGACACACCAACTTCCAAAACGCGATATAAATATAAGGTTGTCAGCTAGATAAAATAAATAAATAAAATAAATTTTACGTTAGCCAGACTCTGTAATATAATGTATACATATATAATGTATATACATTACTTAGTGTAGTACGCTACTAGTTTTAGTATAACTTTGAAATGTTAACGTAGGTACTATAATTAATTTTTCTTCTGTATCACAAACCACAGTGCCACAACCTTATTGCTTATCTGCAGAGTGGAAGCCAGGTGACCTGTAATACAGGTTTTTCTATATCGCGGGCACCAATCTGTCACAAAACAGCATGCCCAATCTTGTTTTACCCTATAAGTTCCTCTACTCTTTTAAGCCTGTTTGTGACGGGAAAATAAAGAAACATTTCGTTTTCAATAAATATTTTACAACATCACAAATGTTGCTCTGATTCCAAAGTAAATAACTAAAGCACTTGTGTTATGGAAATCGGAAACAACGACGGTACCTCGAACACCCAGACCCGAGACAATATAGAAAAGTTAGTTTCTATATTGACCCGGCCGGGGATCGAGCCCGGGACCTCAGAGATGGCGATACCATGAAAACCGGTATGCAAACCACTTACTTTACTTAATTTATGTTGAGGGTCAACAATGATTGTTTAGTGGCTATTTTCCTCTGAAGTAAAGATGAAATATCGTACATTGTAAATAGCATTGTAAAATAAGAATGAATTTTAAAAAAAGTCAAAATTTATTAAATAAAAAAAGTTTATTGAATACAACTGCGTATTAATTACAACTTTTTGCATTTCCGCCTGGGTTCCTATTGACCAGAAAATATTTTTATACAAATATAATCTTAAAAATAAATATAAGGTGTTAAAGTAATTGTATACGCTATAAATAGACTGCATTGATAGATTGTTTTTTTTCAACTTCTTTGGATATAAATATTTATATTTTTAATTATAATATGTATTTGATAAAGGCAAGACAAGAGTTCTATTAAAGGCACAAAGTTATTGCGTTTTTCATTTAATACCTATTATAATATATAACTAGAACGTGTTAAACATAATTTTCAAATTCGGTGGTTTCGTAAAATACATCAAAGATTCTCTTGATTTTTCGAAAAGTTTATACTAAAGCGGCTTATTTAAAATACATTTGCTGAAGGCTTAAAGCAAGCTATTCACTATCTTACATGATTGTATGCATGCGGGTCGACAAAGAGTGGTATGAGAAAAATCGTGAGTGAAGTTAGTATCCACATCTGGACAACAGACCACATACTGGTGCGTAATTCAACGACGTGATGTGAAATGTGTTTGGAAGACAAATTGAGTTTTAATAAGAGGTAAGAGAAATAATTACAGAGGGCATTGGCTTTAGAATTACCACGATAACTAACAGAGTTATTTTCTATAGAGTAATTACAAAAGTAAAAAAAAAGAACCTTGTTAAAAATGGTCTAAACGATTACAACGAATGAGAAAGAAAGAAAGAGAGGGAGAAAAATGAAGAGATTCAAAATATTCCCGAAGGACCCAACATGTATAGTGCATAGGCTGCTTTACCCATTAGCAATACGAATTCATCGCAAATCAGTCAAATATAATAGTCATTTAAAATAAAAATTAATTAATATTATGCATGTTAATTAATTATAAAGTAACAAAATTAGTACCTACACTATAATATCTTAAGTTTACTTTTGGGGTCGATAATGTTGCATTAAATCGCGTTAAAATATCTTTATCAAACTAAAGTCGAAACTAAAAAAAAATTCATATATTCATGATTAGTAATAATAATAAAGCCTGGTATTCATTAGGCAACAATTGACACGCAACTTGTATGAGAACATTGCCCGATGCCATATAATCACATCCATCCAGCAATGTGGCTAATGGAGAGCACACTATACTACGCAGTAGAAATAAAATAGCTTATATAGCTAATAGCTACCTATAACTTATAGCTTTTTCGGTGATGTACAAAATGACCTGTAAAATATTAACAACCTCGCAACATTGTATTACTAACATCTTAAACAACTTTTGTATCGTAAATTTTAATTATTCATCAGACTTTGTTTTCATACAAAAATATATTTTTTTAATAGATCGCTCTAAACAGTCACAACTCTGTGCGGAACGATGCAAAACACAGGAGCGAGCGGTGGGGTTCGTCGGGGAGGACGCTTGTTCATTGGAACTTACAACCTTATTACCAACTGCACATCTAAAAAGTGTCCGATAGTACAACATACTTAGATGATATTTATAAAGTACAAATATAGCTACTAAAATCTTTTGTGCCAATATCAGTTAAAAATAAACATAGAAATGATTGTAACAACTTGTTTAGATACTATACAATCTTAGATATACATAGTAAAATAAATATATACATAATTTGTGATAAAATATATAAGATTGACAAGTTAAAACAAACGACAAGAATCGCTAAATTGCGTAATCTAAATTACCTACCAAGGTATGTTCTTCCTCCATACAATAACAACTATGGAAAGCGTGTCTGGAGATATATGTTACCATTACTGCTTAATAAATTGCCAAGTGACGTTTTTGATAAACTTATAGGTAAACCAAACGATCCTTAAGTCAATTCATTTATCAAATTGTTAAAGTTATTTGTTCTTAAGTGTAAGTTGCGTAAATTATTAGATGCGTATAAGTATTAGATATTAAATATTTTCTTAGACGCCTGATAGCATATGATGGCAGCGATACATAAATCTGTTAATGGTTTTTATTCACTGTTTTGTGTTCCTTTTTGTAAACTTTTTAATTGTGAATAAAATAAATAAAAAAAAACCAAAAACTTAAGTTTATTTTTGGTAAATGTATTTTTATAATTATTATTACAAAGATCGAACACCTTGAAAAAATTCCTTCGATCCGACCGGTTTCGACGTCTTCCAGGAAACCGTGCCAGACGCTATGCCAAGTAAGCAACGAAAGGAACCAGCGCAACTCAAGAATTTTTGTATGTGCTTGTTGTCGATTGTATTTGGTTTTCGACGACTTTTTAGCCGTAGCGCCATCTATGAGAAACTATGAAAGTAATTCGTCACCCAGTTAGATACCTTTACAGCTACCAGCCCTCGTAGCATGGCTACGCATGATAGTCGCGATGCCAGCGATAAAATTGAAATAAGCGCGCGCTATTGACTGTCTCATTCAGATCTAATTTAGATAGCCAATAGCGCGCGCTTTTTTCAATTTCATCGCGCGCGTCGCGCCTGTCATTCGTAGCCATGCTACGGGGGCAACCCTGGTTAAAGATGTCGTTATTAACTGTAATTTTCTATTGAATTGATATTCAATTTTTCATTTCGTATCGAAGGATTTTTTCTTAGTGTTCGATCTTTGTGTTAATAATTATAACAAATTAGTGGAGCAATTTCACAAAACAAACAAACAAAATTAATTTATTATTTTTAAGTTTATTGAATGTTTACTACCATGATATTCAATTATTTTTTTGTGAAATGACTACCACCACTGACCACTAGTTTGTTAATTACAAAGATCGAACGATCAGAAAAAAAAGGTTCCGGCTGGATTCGCATTAGCACTCTCAGGCAATCCTTAAAAACCAGCACACATTACAAATTTTCCTATGTGCTTCTTGCACATCTCTGTTTTTGACGACTTTCTTGCAGTAGCGCCATCTGTATAACGTTTTGTAAAAGGTTATGGAACAAAAGATATTGTTTATGATGTTAGCAATATAGTCCTGCCTGCAGGTTTGTTAGTATGATACAATCCTTTATAATATAGGCGACGTTGTTATACAAAAGTTGCGCTTTGTTTAGAAACATGTTGGAATGCATGTCGAGCAACATATTGCCTAGTTGTTACCGGGTTTTAAGTCTTAAGTGTACAACAAACTTTTGCAATGCGAATTGCAAATTATAACCATAAGTTTATTTGAGTAAATATTAAAAATAAGTAACTGAAAAAATGGACTTTTATATTACCATCATACATTACGAATTACTTTAGGGTGTGTAAATAATATCTGGCTAATGCGCATTTAAATGCATTC